CACACACACACACACACTCTCTAACACACACACACACAACACACACGCACACACACACACACAAACTCTCTCACACACTCACAGACGAACCTCTCGAATCTTCTCCACCGCTAGCGTGAAGATGCAAAGAATGACGACCCATTCCTGAGGAGACGGAAACGGCTCCATTCGCACCAGCACCACGTATGAATACAGCATCAGGAAGCCGATGTAAAAGAGCTAGAAACACAAAACACCGCATCAGACTGAAGACAGATCTCCTCATGATCACAGACACACAGCAGACCTGAAGATCACAAACTCACCTGCCGTCACACTCAAGGCCTGCATTATAGAGTTTAGAGTCATTAGACACTAACACTAGAGCACGGACCAATCACAATCACAAGAATAAGACAATAAACACTCACAGTATTTAAATCAGGTGTCTACAAAATGCTGTTTATTTTTTCTCAAATTTGGACTTTTTCTAGGTTCTGTTTATGATTTAATACAAATTTATCAAAAAAAAAAGGAGGGAATCAAGTGAATTTATAAAACTAACTTAATATTTTAAAATGTAATCAAATGAAAACAACAATTCCATTTTGTGTCAAATAAAGAGGTGCACAAGAGAGATATATTGTTAAAACATGAAATTAATCTCTTGATTGTATTTCTATATAAAAATTGTAATAAATTAAAATTTTAATCAATTGAATAAATTCTTTAATAAATTCCTTTCGAGAAGTACTTTTTACTATTCAACAATAATATATTTCTGCCATCATTTCATATCATCACTGGTTTTGTATTGAAGAGCTTGGAGTTTCCGTGTATCTGATGAACTGAAGAGCCATTCTTTTGATCCATTCAAATTCTGTGAAATTGTGCTTTATACAGTAAGCTTTATTTTTTATGACTGGATTCTGTGATTCTGTCTGCTATGATTGTGCAGTTGCTCAGGAACGGCTTACCGCTGGTGAGAGCAGAGAACGGTAATGATTCAGATCACAAACACAAAACAATCATTAGTTGCTTTTCTGAAAATCTTTAATTGTTCATCAACACTTTCACATCAAACCCTTCAGCTTCTATCAGAAACAACAGATGAATGATCAACCGCTGCCACACACACTTATGTCCTCATTTGTCACAAAAACGCGCACACACACACACACACTCAAACACTCGGGTCTGGTTGAAATGTCACTAGTGAACCTTCCACTAGTCCCGTGATGTTTATCAGTGTGTAACGCGGTGTGCTTATGCAGGAACAGGTGTCTCTGATATTATCACATGAGAACAACAGCCCCGAACACTTGAAGTGCTGGAAATCACACACACACTCTCGCAGCGTGAGAAAGGAGCTGCACGTACCGTGTTGAACCAGAACTTGACGATCGGCGCGTGGTAGAAGGCATAGAACTTGCGTGTGATGGGTAACCGGCGGGAACGCACATGCACCTCCGTCTCATTCTTCACATCCGCATTCTCATTCATACGGACTTCCTTAAACACATCCTGACAGAAACACAAACTCTGTCAATCTGTGCCAGTGCCATTGTGCAAGAACACTCAAAAACACACGCTTGTGTAAAGATTGACCATTTTCTGGGCATCGGCGATCAGAACAGCGGCGGAGGCACGTTAGCACACTTCAAGCATGTTTAATACTTCATCCGCACCATCTGGATGTCGTCAGGGTTCTGCAGGTAGTGCTCGCTGTCCTCCATGCTCTGATGAGCGTCCTGCGACTGGGGAATGTGGGACATCTCCGCTTTGGTCTTGTACTCCAGCAGGAGGATGGCAGGAGGAACCAGGATGCTCAGGATCACCTGCACACACACACTCTCACACACACACACATGGACACAGACACAGACACAGCATCAGTCAGTCAGTCAGTCGATGGATGGATGGATGCAGGAGTGCATGCGGCGGCTGTACCTTGTACCAGGAGTTCTTGCGCATGTTCAGGCGGCCCATCCACATGTCGGAGAGCAGCATCTGTGTGCAGGTGTGAGCCACGAACAGCCGGAGGCGCGACGACACGGCCAGCTTCAGACAGGTGGAGTTGCTCCAGTTCTTCAGCTCGTACATCAGCAGCTTCATGGCCATCGTCTCGTCCTGCCTGAACGACTGCTCCAGCAGATCCACCGCCAGCGTGCCGAACTCACTGAGCACAGACACACACGCTCAGAAAAACACTCAAAACACCATCAAACCGCTTCACACTCACTCTGAGTGCAATCCAGATCCATTTCCAGCATCCCCTCGTTTTGAGTCTCGTATAGCTAAACATTTTTTTTTTCTTTGTTCTTCCTTTTTTTGAATATCGCTTTACACAAAAGCATCTGCTAAATACATAAACGTAAATAAAAATTTGTTTATGCTCTGAAATTGTAAATTCTACAAAGATTTTGAATATTTAGAATTCAGTTTTTATTTTTATATATTTTTTATGTTTATTATAGTTCAAGTTTTAAACATTTTTTTTTTGTGTTTTGTCATTTGTATTAGTTTTTTTGGTAACACTTTACAATAAGGTTCACTAGTTAAACTACTTTAGTTAACATGAACTAAGCATGAACTATACTTCTACAGCATTTATTAATCTTAGCTAATGTTAATTTCATCATTTACTAAAGTTGTGCTTGTTAACATTAGTTAATACACTGTGGATTAACATGAACTAACAATGAACGACTGTATTTTCATTAATTAACATTAACAAAGATTAATAAATACTGTAATAAATGTACTGTTCATGGTTTGTTCATGTTAGTTAATACATTAAGGAACATTAACTAATGGAACCTTATTGTAAAGTGTTACCGTTTTTTTAATGTCTACATCATAGTTTTTCATTTTTATTTCAGCTGTAGTTTGTTATATTAGTACATCAAGTTAAACTAAATTAAAAAGAGAAATGTTGCCAATTTGGAATTGTTATTTTATTTCAGTGAATGTTTATTTTATTTCAAGTAATGAAAATCTTTTTTTTTTGTTTTAATTTTAGTTTCAGTTAACTATAATAACCTTGTCTGGAGATCAAACGGTAGATTATGGCAATAGCAATGTCAAGGTCATGGTTCAGATCCCAGGGAAAGCCAGAACTAATAAAAATGTACCTTGAATATAACACAAGTCGCTTTGGATAAAAGCATCTGCCAAATGCACCAATGTTTTTGGTTTCGGTCTGACTGACAGAGACTCACTTGGAATACTCCTTCAGCTCCTCGGAGGTGTCGTCCACCACGTCGCTCTTCTTGGCCTCGTATCCCATGGAGCGCAGCAGTTTGCAGGCCACCAGAGCTTTGGCCATGGACTCCTCGCCGTGCTGCCAGAAGAACAGAGACATCTTCTGCCGCTTCATCAGCACGGCCCACACCAGCAGCTCGTTGAAGGGGTACGGGAACCTGCGCGTCTCCGGATCGTCGATGTCCACCACCTCCTCCTTACTCTTCTTCTTCTGCTGCTCGGAGACAGAGTCCAGCTGAGGAGGAAAAACACACGATCAAACACACGCTGCTGCGAGAGATGCGACAGACAAACACGCTCAAACACTCGTCTTACCCTGGGTTTGTAGGGCTGCGCCGTGTTGATGAAGTGATTGTGTCGCGTTTTCTCTTTTTTATCTGCTTGAATGCTGAAGGACTCATGGGAGCTGCCAGCTGTGTGTCGACCTGACCGCTGACAGACAGAACGGATGGAGAGACAGACAGATGGATGGACAGAACAACAGACGGACAGAAAAAGACGGATGAAGAGACAGATAGAACAGACACACAGACAGAACAACAAATGGACAGACAAACAGATAGATGGACAGAACAACAGACAGATAGACAGAACAACAGACAGACGGATGGACAGAACAGACAGACAGAACAACAGCCACACAGACAGAACAACAGACGGACAGACAGAACAACAGATGGACACACAGACGGATAGATGGACAGAACAACAGACAGACAGACAGAACAACAGATGGACAGACAGAAAGATGGACAGACAGACAGAACAACAGACAAACAGACAGAACAACAGACGGACAGACAGACAGAACAAAAGACGGACAGACAGACAGATAGATGGACAGAACAACAGATGGACAGACAGACAGAACAACAGACACACAGACAGAACAACAGACGGACAGACAGATAGATGGACAGACAGACAGAACAACAGACACACAGACAGACAGACAGACAGATAGATGGACAGAACAACAGACACACAGACAGAACAAACAACAGACACACAGACAGAACAA